AAGGACCACTTTTTTGGTTCTTTTGTTCTTTACTTTCATGAAATTGTTACTTCATTTCTCGTAAAGTTCACTTTCGCTTTTTCTTTTTCCATCCGGCATCTGAAGTTTGTTAGTTTATTGGCTTGTTAATCCAAACAGAACAATTTCGTTGCGTCATCGCACAGCGTGCGAAATTTTCGGGAGGATCCTATTGAATAGAAGAAGCCGAGGGGACCCATATTGCCCTCGTGGGGCCGCGCTCGTCGAGCCATCTTCAATAATACATTTCATAAGAAGAGAGCCTCAGCGAGAAGATTAAAATGCCTCAACATGGTTTTACGGGCAGTGTTGAGTGGAATGAGTAGTTTTCTTGAGCAAATAGCATTTATGACCGGATAGAATCTCGTCGTAGGCGACCGACAACGTCACATTCCGATCGGTTTTCCCTTGACCGATCGAATGATGACGATTGACGTTTGAGGACGCCACGGAATGATGACTATTAATAGCCCAGACACGAACGATCGCGTTCCACATACGGCGCCATCGAGCACTTTTGATGGGACCAATGGAAAGGATGTGAACGATTCCGAAAATTGGTGCAACTCAAACGGGCCTTGTTCGGTTTGGGGGGCATTTCGCTTTTCCGCCTGTTTCTTTTGCTTGCTCCTCTTGAGTTACACATCTCACCCAGATTAGACCTGTACGCTCTTGTCAAGTGTAATCGAAGCTCTAGCTGTTGCATAGCTTTGCAAGAGTTTACTGATCTCTGCATAAGGCATCAGCAGTGATCGATATGAACCAGACAACACCCCCACGAAGCCGAACTGCGCCCTGAAATGAGTCACCAACGCCCACATCAGCTGGTATAATGCACGCATATTAATATTGCGCCAGCGTTGGTGTACCCGGCCATGGCTGAGTGATTAGCTTTTCTTGTAATACCGAAGGACAATAGGTATTGAACCTAAGTGACTTGAATGATTACAAAAAAAGCGTGCTTGGAATGGAACCTTTGAAAAACGTTATAGGTTTGACAATTTAAACGGCGGGAGTTAAGGAAGATGCAGCCCAACTTATTTCAAGTCATAAAATATGCAACGCCAGTAACTCTCACTCTGCGTCACCAACACAGTTTTGATAGAAATTATTTGCATACTTGCGGTTAGTCAGAAAAAAAAGTTCAAGAAAACATGCATTGGAAACTGTTTTTGAAGGCGCGGGACGGAATTTCGGAAGCGTGCATTGAAATCGATGCACACGGCGCACCATTTATTGGATGTTGGATTTTTTTGGAAAAGCACTGTATTTTAGGTGAAGTGACTACACTTTGGTGCTAATACGGTTTCTAGACAGTGTTGATTTTTGGTGTGCATGGGTGAAAGTGCATTTAGTTTTGGTACTAGACATTCCGCTAGACGCTTCCGCTTCTACCCGCTAGACATTTTAAAACAGTTCTGTCCACTTAAATACACAGCCGTCTACGAAAGGGATCCTATGGCAAAATTAATAAATCTTCCCTCTTCCCTGTCGACTCTTTAAAGACACATGGTACGCCCAACACATTGAGGGTGTATGAGACTATCAGCCCCCCAGCTGTCGATGTGTCGTGGTCCCGCCCAAAACTGCACGGGGTCAGAGTACGGGGCCGTGGGAAAGTCGTAATTCCTTGCTACACCGCCCTTTCGCAAACTCACGCTAACACCATCCGCGCGGCGCGGTCGCGTGCAGCTCTCTTGGCTTTTTGCCAAGTCCTGTAATTGCGCTTTGGAATACAAGTACAACGCAATTTCTTTATGCGGATAACATTTTAGGTGCTGCAAAATAAGAACCGAAGATGATGACGAGGGCTAGAACTCAAGAGCAACTGTGGTGCTTCTGCAATATCCCTCAGAGGCCGCATTCCCACAGAACATGACAATAAAAACGGACAACATGACAATAAAACATGACAATACAAGCAAAACGCAATTTCCTAACATTTGAGGTATTGCTCATGCTTCAAAGTCCGAATAGAGGTGATGAAGACAAATGCAGAATGAAAACAACGAATGTAGATGTATATGAAATAAAATTGAAAAGACTAAGGAAACGCAAATTAATTAAAATCGCGTGTGCATTTCTGCGATCCGGCTCGAATCCGGCTCTAAAGCTATAGAAATACTTCAAACTAACGAGTGGGACGCTTAGGCCGTTTTTTGTCATGCTTCTGTGGGAATGCGCGGCCTCTGAGGGATATTGCAGAAGCAGCACAGTTGCTCTTGAGTTCTAGCCCTCGTCATCATCTTCGGTTCTTATTTTGCAGCACCTAAAATGTTATCCGCATAAAGAAATTGCGTTGTACTTGTATTCCAAAGCGCAATTACAGGACTTGGCAAAAAGCCAAGAGAGCTGCACGCGACCGCGCCGCGCGGACGGTGTTAGTAAAACGTGAGTTTGCGAAACGGTGTAGCAAGGAATTACGACTTTCCCACGGCCCCGTACTCTGACCCCGTGCAGTTTTGGGCGGGGGACCACGACACATCGACAGCTGGGGGCTGATAGTCTCATACACCCTCAATGTGTTTGAGCGTACCATGTGTCTTTAAGTGCTCCTGCTGCTTCTTTTCTTTCATTTCGCCCCGATTAGGCGTCGTGGCCTGCGGATGTCAACATTTCTGGACCTAATGGGTGTGGTCTCACGACAAGACACTTGGAATGAATTATAATTTTTTTTGGTTCAAGGGTTTTAGAGGGGAGGTGTCATGAGAGTCAGAAAAGTGGGTTTGTGATAAGACAATGGTGTTTCCCCGTACTCGTAAGTGTTGCGTGCAACTTCGCGCTAGCGATTGGCGATATTTCTAGGTCGTAGACATCGACAATGGGCCATGGCTAATCAAAAATAACTATAAATGTCTAACATGTTCGTAGTCTAAATTCGATGCCATGATCGACAGGCTAATGCGACTCAAGAAAGTTGGCCATCGCCACATGTGGCGGAGCGACAAATTATGACCGTCTTGGCGGTCTCCCCAGAAGAATAACGAGGGGTTCTCCTCTAATAAGAGGAGTAATGTCAATGGGCTAGGAGTCACACGTGGAGCCTCAAATACCAGTCCTGCACAACAGTGATTACGAGTAGTATACATCTTATTGTACTAAATTTCAGGCAAAAATCCAGAAACATGAAGCGTTCGAAGCAGAGGTACAGGCGCATGCAAAAACCATCAGTAACCTCGATAAAACTGGAAATGCTATGATTCAGCATGGTCATTTTGCAAGCGAGGTGATCAAAGTGGGTTGTTTTTTTGACTCTGTTACTTCCCCTTGAAGTTATTATACATGCCGAGTATAAATGATATTTTAAGAAACGCCTCGAAGAACTTCACGCTTTATGGGACAAGCTGTTCTTCAAACTAAAAGATAAGGGTATTAAGCTTCAACAAGCACTAAAATTACTTCAATTTATTCGACAGTGTGACGAGTTGCTTTACTGGATTAGGGATAAGGTCAGTTAATTGTATTGGGTGAAGTTAGTCAATTATGGTCATTATAAGGTACCATTTAGGAGGCTTATGTGACTGCCGAAGATATGGGTATGGATCTGGAGCACGTAGAAGTGCTTCAAC